ATTTCAAAACAGCAAGCGCCTTAAAATGTTGGGCGCTTCGATTCATGAAGCTTTTATAATTAGGCGCAAACACGATTTTGAATCGTAATCTATAGAGCTTCATTAAAATACATGGGTTCGGCATAAAAGCTTTATACTTTAGTATGCCGAAACGAGTACACTACTGTGATTAGGAGCTTAATGTGCAGAGTGCCTAAGGCGCTTGCAGTTTCGAAATCGTCATTTGTTTACTTTTTGTGTTGGAAATAAATTTTATTTATCAATTCAAAAGATGATAATTGAAAATGAATGATTTCGTGCTAAAATTCGTGCAAAGTGTATTAAACAACCAGCGTTTATGCAATATTTCGAAGCAGAAATATTTGCGGAAGTGCGTTGTTGCGAAAGAACGGCCAGACAATTTGTTATGTTTAGAAAGTGTTTATTAGCTGATGACTTATGCACGGCGTGCAAGTGTGCAGAAGTCGAGTCGTCATGCATTTGTTTCGGCATGACGAAACGATTACTCTACTTTGATTAGGCGCCTGATATGCCGAGTGCCTTAGGCTATCTGCACACTTGTCGTCCAATCATAGTCGCGTTATCGTCTCGCCCTGAAATATTGAGCCGAATACATGCATTTCAATGGAGATCTGCATACTTGTCGTTATCGGCAAATCGTAGAAGATGCAGAAACGGATAAGTATGGCACTGGCGTTTGCTAATCGTTGTGCGCACGCATTATTTGTTTACATTTTATGAGGAAAAATTTCTGAAAAAGGTAGAATTGCATAAAAATTAGTATTTTTTGCATAAAATCTGTGGAAATTAATAAAAAGTGGATAATTGCACTAAAATTCAATAAATGTGAGAGTGTTAACTGTAAAATATAACAAATTGTAAAAGAGTCTCTTCGTGCGTGCTCAAAACACATTTCAGGAAAAGAAAAGAAGAGATATTATTGAAAATTTTTGTCTAAAATTGATCCAGCACAGTCCATATTTTAAAAATTGCAGGGTTCTATAAATTTTTCATGAAAATATCAACCATAAAAACATAAAATATGTGAATAAGTGAATTTTTAGACGCCAATTGAATTGAAATATCACGACCGAGTCTGCGAATGTGAATTCGTCATGTTATAGTTGCATCATTATTGTGACGATGAAGCAACTATGATTGGATGACCACTGTGCATAAAGCCTTAGGCTGCGTTTCTCCAAACTCATTTAAGTGGAAATTAACTTTAATTTAATTTATTATTTATTTCTCATTTAAATTATTTTCAGTTTCAACAAGCTCTTTATTTAAGTGAGTAAAAAGTGGTTGTAAAACAGACTTGGCCAGCGAAAGTCCTCATTTGTTCTGAGAGCATTTGAAAGCTTTGGCACGCTGTGTTTTAAAAGCACGGCTGGTATACAAGTAAGCAGCAGATACGCAAAATTGTGGTGTGTGTATATTGATCAGCAGATTAAGCGTGTAACATCTCTGAGTGTGGTTATTTAAGTGAAGAGCATAGGTCACTTAAATCAAAATTAAAAACCAATTAAAATTGATTAGTGAAACCAAAAATTTTAAAATTAAAGTAATTTTCACTTAAATGAATCTGGAAAAACGCAGCCTTATTAAAGCTGAATTATGCAAGACTTAGACTTGACTTGACTTACCTAGAAACTTAGAAACGATTACTCAGCGTATCACCTATCAACTTTTCTCCTTTGATTAGTTAAAGGGAATTTTAAACGTTTAAATTATTTTTACGCCAAAATGGATACAAAATTACCATTAAAATAAATGTATTTTCGCTTATCAAATTGTGATTTTTTTTATATTTTGTCTTTGGGCGTGTATGAATCGGTAACAAAGTCCTATGGGGAATGCTGCTGAATAATATTTTGACTATGGTGAGACAGTTTTGCTAATCTGCTGTGTAAAATGAAATCTGTTTTTTGCCGGCAGTAAATTTTTGATAACGGCAGATTTATACGGAATAAAATATTACAAATTGAAGTGAAATGAATATACCAAGAAAACATCTACCACCTTGATTGCAATTCACCAATTTAAGCTTTTGTTTAACGGAAAACTATACACATCAGCAATCTTTGCGATTGTCAAAATTTTCTATGCATTTTCACTAGCCTCATGAGCTACTGAAATTTTATTCACCTCATAGTTGTAAAAATTTTACTCGCCGCGAACTTTGTTACCGATTCGCACACGCTCTTGCCAGAAGAGATACATTTATTAAAAAAAATATATTTGTGTGGCATATTTGCAAGTATTTTATTAAAAAGTTAAGTGAGCAGCATGGTTCTCTCACAGCTCTCTTTGCAATTAGAAATTTAACTTAGAAATCAAAAAATGTATAGTTCTCCAAGTTTCTAAGTGAAGTTGTTTTTTTTAGTAACTACATACACGCGCTGCTCATTTGCCAGATATACAATTTTCAAGTCAAGGCAAGTATAAGTCTTGCATAACTAGCTGTTAGAGCCGTTTTCTCAAGTAACCAGTAACTTAAAAGCTCACCTTATATTTAAAGGTTGCATTAAAATTTATGGCTCTGTCTAAAGCAAAGCATTTTCTTATCGGTTTTAAATTGGTTTACAACCAAAAATTATACATACGTCGAAAACAGATAAGAGAAATGCTTAACTATAAACATGGCTTTATTTTTAATCCAACCTTTCATTAATGGATTAAAATACCTTTAAATACTTGTGCAACGGTGCATTGCAAAAAGTTTAGAATTTTTCACAATTTTGTATTTACCAGCAGTTACGAACATATATTTGAGCTACAGCCAATTTTTGAAAAAAATCGGGTGTTTAATTGAAAACCGGCGCTTATTCCAGAGGATTTATCAAGTATAGCATATCATGCCGTATTTCACTTTAAAGGACGCATATTTATGTTTTAAATGCGAAATCTGCTATATTTTTCATATTTTATTTTAGGCCGTGGCCTAAGCCAAAAACATTTTTTTTGTACTTATCTACTTAAAATAGTCTCTAATCTGATAAGTCTTAAAGTAAAGGTTGCTTAATATTTTATTTTCTGGTACGCTATATTGCTTTGTTATTTAAAATTAAGGAATAAGCGACTTTTATTTTAAAGTTTATCACATTTGGGATCATTTAAAGTAGGTAAGTGGGTTAGGTCACTTCTGCTCCCACGACCTCATACATGTATAAAAAGGCAACATGTTTTCTTTACACCATTTTTACAGAAAACTAGACACGAATAAAGGCACGAGCTCAAAAGTTGACGTCGAAAAAAGACGCATAAAAAAACTTTAGCGTCAAAAACTCTTAACATACTTCGCCGAAGTTTTTCATAAGCATCTTTTTTTTAATTTTTTTTAAGCGCCTTTTTTCGCCTCAAAACACTATCGCGCCTTTATTCGTGTGTTTGTTTACAATTAGAAAGATATTTTAAAGCTGAGGTGCGGAAAATCACTCAATTTATAAACCAGATTAAAATAAAGCGAAAAAAAATCAATTCAAAATTGACACTAATAAAAATGTTATATATTTACATGAGTCCTCCTCATATGTGCTATAATATTCACACTGAACTTAATAAACGTCTGGGAATAAGATAAAATTGAGTATGTGGAAGAAGAAAGGAATAGAGGCAAAGATTATAATATAAATAAAGAAGCCTAAAGATAAAAACAAAGCGCATGGTAAATTTATCGACCACTTAATATAATAACAAAGGTCGGGGATATATGTACATATAGATGAAGAAAATAATGGATAAAGGTAAAGGAAAAGACAAAGACAAAAATGAAATGACAAATATAAAGGAAAGCATAAAGATAAAAAAATACAGATAAAAAATGATGGATATAGAAAAGTGTTAGAGGTAATGATAAAACTGAGGAATGAGATATGTTATCTTACGTTATGCTATGTTTGGTTATTTTATGTTGTTGTTTTTCTTAATGTTATGTTATGCTATGTTATGTTGTGTTATGTTCTTTATGTTATGTTATGTTATGTTATGCTAAGTAAAATTCTGTTTTGTTATGGTACACTATGTTTTGTTATATGATGTTAGGTTATATTATAATGTGTTATGTTATGTTATATTATGTTATGTTGTGTTATATTGTTGTGCTATTTTGTATTATGTTATGTTATGTCATATTATGTTATGTTATGTTATATTATGTTTGGCTATGTTGTGTTGTTCAACGAATTTCAATTGAATTGTCTTCATCTCCCCACAACTAACCTCACATCAACTTCTTCCAGTTCACCTCTACTCTACTCAACTCACCTCAACTTCCTTCACATAAACTCCTCTCCATTTACCTCAAATCGCCTTAACCCTACTCACTCCATTTCATCTTAACTCAGTTCACCTAAACTCACACCAACTATTGGCACCTCAACTTACCTTATCCCAACTTAACTTATCTAAACCCACCCCACCAGAAATCACTTCTCTTCAATCACAATCGCCTTAACTCAACTCAACTCAGCTCAACTCAACTTAACCCACGTCAACTCTCTGAATTTTAGTCCTTAAATTATTAAATATATGGAACAAGTGCTGCGCTACAAACAAAAGGTCTGTACAAACCTACAAATCCGTAATAAAATTAAGTCAATTGGCATTGAAATAAAATTGGCGTGTTTGGTTTACAAATTCTATTTGATATTTTATTTATCTTAGTTTCAGCTGCAAAATTTAGATATTTACATTATGTTCTTATATATATTTACGTATAATTCCTGCATTTATATGTTTGTTATTTCGCGAAATTATTTCATGCATAGTGGTTATAATGCTTGCATAAGTACCATTTTATATTTCAATTCATATAAGTACATACATATTTCAGCTACAATTCATGAAATGATTTCGTGAAATGAGAAACGCATAAACGTAGTAAATAGTATGAGATATTAAAATATTCGGAACAAATTATATTATTTTTATGTGCAGTGTCTTATAAATAAACCATTACAGTAAAATTTTATTAAATTGGTTAAATCTATCTTTTGTAGGAAATAAAAAGGGCATGCGGCGTTCCCGATTTTCAGGTATTATACAATTATAATATTTATAACCCGTATTGGTCCACCGGGGTCCAGTGGACCCCAGACCAACCATGCGGAATTACATATATTTTTTATAAACAAAAACTATTTAAAATCAATCCTGTAACTTCAGCTGTCAATACTAGAGTGTGATTATATAATTTCGGGCCGTTTGGATAGTGCGGCGTCAGTCCGTTTGCAGAAATCTATTTGTACGGTCGTATTTTTGTTTGGGATCCATAGAGCCTCGCATGAACATAGTGGGGCAAAGTCGAGAACTTAGCACTTATATTTTGTTTTGGTGTTTAGTTGTTATTTGTGACGTATAAATATCTATAAATATATTCATAGACTCGAGTATGCTTTCACTATGTATGTGGTCAACGTGATTAATTGTGGGGTACATGATTAATGTAATTTATTTATTTTATATTAGCTTATTTTAAATATTTAATTAGGGTAAGCTTTAAAACCCATTTTGTTTGATATCAAAATGTTTCTTCTGTCGAAAGCGCTACGATAAATTTGCACAGAGTGTTCAAAAGGACACTGTGCTCCGTTGCTATTTTAAGTATTTAGCTGCATACAAGGACATCTTGTATTGTTAGAGTCATGATACAACTTTTACTAGAACAAGTAGCTTATCCACCCACTCAAACGCTCATGCATCAACACAAGCCCGTCAAGCTACACTTTTCCTATTTGCCTACCTCTCCATCTAATAGTGTACTTTTTTTTTAATTTCAGTTTAAGTGCTTTATGTTCCGCCCACTGGAAAGCTCAAACTGTATGCAGCCAATTTGATTTTTTTTACTGCAGTATGAATTGCTCCTTACGCTTCTTCAACCCTTATTAAGCGCCAGATTTTCTTGTTGATGTTTTTTTCATCATTAGCATAATAAACCCTGGGGCGATTGTTTGCATAAGATTAGAAATTGAAAAATAGAAACAGCACAACAATTTTTGTGGTTGTCGGAGAAAAGCACGGGGGCATTTTCTATCTCATTTCAGTAAGCCAATAACTGAAGGATTTATGTGTAAGTGAATGCTTGTAGAATGCAATATACAAATTATAAACAAATAATTATAATTTGCATACATAAGTATACACATATACATAGTGATAAAAATTAAACAAAAAAAAATGAACGAAAGGAAATAAAAATTTAGTGGTACATAAATAATTAAATATAAACATAAGGCTGCTTTTATCCGCGACTATATTTTTTACTCCATCTCAAAATTTTGCTTGATACCTTAATAAAATACCCTGAAAATTTGAGCGCTTAATATTAATATTAAGTGATCGACTAAGGCGTGCAAAATTTTCCGTTTAAAATATACGTAAACTTTGATTTTTTCCTCAAAATTATATTATTTGGTATAAGAATTTTATGTTATAATCCTGACTACCACCACCGAGGCAGTTTCCTACAAGTTTGTCATAAAGATTTTTTCTGTAGCTCTTGTTTTTTACGAGATAGGGGAAAAAACGAGAATTTTAAAAAAATTTAGTTTAGTGACCCGCACTAACTTGCTGGTGGGAGTTAGGGTTACGCTGCAGGGGATACTTTTGTATAGCTTTCAATTCTAAAGAAAACCCATCACTGACAAAGACTACGCCACAAAATGCCTCTGAGTTGTAGAATTTTGATAAAAAAAATTGAAGTTTACGTATATTTTAAACAGAAAATCCCACAAAATTTTGAAGTGGGAGTGAAAAAAGTAGTCGCGAAAAAGCACCCTTATATACATGAACTTAATACACACTGTACCGAAGACCTCAAGTTTTGAAATTACATAAAAAAACTCGGAAACACGTAAAATTAATCTGGGGTCGTAGATTATGGATCTGTGTACAGTTTTCCGAGATTAGGTCATCCCAATATATGTTCCATTTCTTCCATTTCTATTACATAATTTCTTCCATTTCTATTACAATTTATTCAAAATACAATAACACATTGAACCGAAAACACCAATACACTGACCAAAAACACCCCTACAGCCTGCCAGGAAAAACGGCAAGAAGAAGAGTTACTTTACTTATGGAACTGTACGATGAACAAAGTTCGCTGCGAGTAAATTTTTGACAAGTATGAGGGGAGCTAATGAATTTTTAGACAAATGCATACACAATTTTCACAACCGCAAAGATTCTTGATGTGTATAATTTTTCTGACTCAAATTTAAGCAAAAGTAATACAATATTAGGAAATGGAGTTTCTGGTTTCAAAATTAAGGAGTATTACACTACGTCAAACAGTAGTAAACAAAATACTATAATAACTTTGTGATGGTATTGTTGATAGATGTCCCTCACAAATATTAGATAACATTCTTCATAGAGTTCATTGAAAATCCTAAAAACATAAATCATTCTTCTTTTATTTGGACCAAATTTCTTATTAATTGTTTGCTGGGTTGGGGCTTGCTGGGTTGGGGCTGCTTCGGCCTGAGCGGTTCAATGCATTTCGCGTCTTTCTCAATGAATTGCAATACGATTACAACTAATACAATTTGGACATTTTTTAACTCACAATTTTTTTAAATGTAAGATTAAATTTATTAGTATTATTGTGAGTTTAAAAAATGTCCAAATTGTATTAGTTCTGGTTGTATTGTAATTCATGTTGTTTATTGTTAAATAAAAACCGACTCCCCGAGGAAGACACGAAATGCGTTGAAACGTGTAGGAGGGAAAAAAGAAATCAATCTTTCATTTTTCTTTTTACCGGCTGAAGCAGCTCCAACTTAGCAAACAATATACAATTTTTGTCTAAAATACGGCCATGAATTTATGTATGTATATGTGTATGTAAAGGATTTTCAGATCATTGGGTAGCGCGGTCAACAAATTTTTGAATATTTACTCAAAAATTATATTTTCAATGGATATTAAGCGAAAATTAGTTTTTCGTAAAATTTTTTGGTAATACTATGACCCAAAATTAAGTTTACGTGTTTCGGCGTTTTTTGTGTAATTTTGACGTCCCTTCAATGTTATTGATTACTGAAATGAACTAATTTGTTATTATACATACATATTTTCTGCTGAAAAATTGCTCTCTGTAGGGAACATAAAGTTTGTCATCCACTGCTACTCACTCTAAAATTTTTTCTATACACTTACGCGCAATAATTCCTCTCCTAATGTATGCAAATTTACATACCGTATTAATTAAATTAATCGAAACCAAACACTGCGTGTTTTTTTTTACATATGTACATACAGTGACGGGCAAAACTATAACATGGTATAACACTTTTTACTTCAGCCATCGCTATATTTCCAAGTTCTAATGACTTTCATAATTTTGTTGTATATTCTTATTGGTACACCTGTACTTCCTCTCTCATAACGATTTGAAGTCAATACAACAACAATGTTACAGTTTTGCACTCACTCTCAGTTTTGCCTTTTACAGTTATCTCTGACTTAGATGGAAGTCAGATGACTTTTTTCTGTATTGCAATTTATTGAAGTAGTGATCACCAGTAAATAATATAGTTAATCAGGAAACATAAATGTAAATAATAGATTTACTGCAGAAAGGCGGAACCGCACGAAATGTGGCAAAAAAATGTGGAATTTGCTACTTGAAAATTTTAAGACTGAGAAAAAATATAGCCTAAAGTGTTCCCAAGGACAAAGGAAGGTTGTCAAAAAATATTACGGTCCGATATCTTGTGAACTTAGCAGCAAATAGCGATGTAGCCGCTATTTCAGACGCGCCTAAGGTATTAAACTTTAATGCAAATCAGTAGACAGCGAGGCGAAGAATTGCCAAATTGAGGGCAAAGGATCACAAAAGAAGATAAAAGCAAATTTGATCAAAATACATGTGCGAGAGTGGTAGCATTTTGCCGGATCGCACGAAAACCGGACCGTTGCCTATTGGGATATGTTAGGCCTTACAGAATGCAATAAAAAACATATTTTTAAGTTTCAATTGATAGTTATTTGGTCTGACAAGATTCAATTAATTGCTTTCAATCAGATGGCCGGGCATGGTATTGGATTAAAGACCCAAATTCAGCCTATACGCAACATGGGAGGCAAACTGTGAATAACAATGGTCGGTCAATAATAGTTTGGGGTTGTATTTAAACAATTTTGATGGTCCGTTAGTACGCATTATGCGTAAGGAACAGTATCTGTTCATATTTCAGCAAAATTTGAAAAATCACTAAAAACACACTGCACATGTTCGCAAAGCCTGTATACAAAAGCAAAAATTTGCTAATTTAGAATGACCTCCACAATCCGCGGACATGAATCTCATCGATAATTTGCGAGATCAATTAAAAGCACAGCTTAATTAGTATCAAAGTCCGTAAAATCGAGTACAGGAGCTGTGAAAGCAAAGTAAGGATATATGGGAGGATATACCTCCACAGAAATACAAATAAGGTATCCCATCCAGGAACTAAAACAAGCAAAAGGGTACCGAACATTGTCTTAACAATTCTTTTTTTCTTGTCAAAATTGTCAAAAAGTTATTAAAAATATATAAGTGCAAAACTGTAACATATGCCTTAATTTACATTTTTGTCTGCTGGTTCTATTATTGGTTTTGGATGTACTTCAAATCATTATGAGAGAGGAAGTACAGGTATACCAATAAGAATATACAACAAAATTATGAAAGTCGTTAGTACTTGGAAAGATAGCGATAGCTGAAGTAAAAAGTGTTACACCATGTTAAAGTTTTGATCGTCACTGTACATACGTGTGCCTAGAAGATAATCGAACTTGGTTGTTGAATTCTTGAATAATAAAGTCTTGTTTTTCATAAAAAATTTTGATTTTAGAAGCACCTAAAATTTTATTTATTTTTTATTAAGTTGGGTGTTAGGCACAAATGATTTAAAATTGATTAAATATGAGCACTTGGTGTTAAATAAAATATTTTAAATATTTAACATTTAAATACTAATAATGGACAACTTATGCGTATGTACACAAGGATTCCGGTTAAGAAAAATATACCTTTCAGTAG